TTAATGTTTTATTGTTTAGTTCTCGGCGGACACAACATCTTTGTTGGTATGTGGTGCTGAGGATCGAACCCGGGCCGCACGCATGTGAGGCGAGCGCACTACCGCTTGAGCCACATCCCCAGCCCTTGCAGTGGAATTCTTGCAGTGGAATTCTGTGTATGATGTCCAGCATGAGGCCATGTGGTGTTTAGCAAATAATTTCCCTGTTGCAGAAGGTGTTCAGGAAGCTGGGCATACTTAGCAAGGTGTTGCAGAGATTAGTAGACATTTGGTAAAGAGATGGAAAGAACCAGAATTAATTCTTGAGGTCCTTTCCAAGACAAATTTTATGGATGTTTTTTGTCTCCCCATGTGTCAGTCACTACAGATTCAGAAATGAGACATTTTGCCTCCTGAGTCTTGTAGCAAACTTACAGTTGACAACTGTAATCATGAAAGTTCCATGATAAGGGAGGTGGCATAAGAAAACATAGAAAGGGTACTGAATGCCCAGCCTTCAGAAAGATGGAGCCATTCCAAGAAAGCTAGTTAGCAAAGGTGATCTTTGACAAACATGACAATGGAATGAATACCTTCTGAGAATTTCAGCCATTTGGCATGACTGGGAATATGTGTGTGGGGGGTGCTGATGATGAAAGAAGATCATAAACAGCTTTGAATTCTCTTGAGACTTTATCTTCAATGTTGGTGTGACTGGTTGCAGATGGTAATGTGATTAGACATTTGGAGAGAGGGATTAGTTGGATGTTTCAATTTGTATTTTGGTAAGATTTTTCTGTTTATAATTTGAGGAATAAAATGGAGAGCAAGACAGATTACGTCAAGGGAGACCAATTACAGTTTTGTTCTAAGGAATGAGAACCTGAATTAAAGAAGTGGCTTTCATGATCTACAGGAATGACTAGCCAGGCATGCTTGTGCATGTCTGTAATTTCAGCTGTTTGGGAGGCTGAGGCATGAAGATCACAAGTTTGAGCCCAGCCTCAACAATTTAGCAAGACCCTGTCTCAAAAAAGTAAAATATATAAAGGACTGGGGAAGTATCTCAGTGGGAGAGTGCTGTTGGATCTATTTCAGCTATATTTCTGCTCCATGAGTCCAAAGTAACCAGTGATCTCTTAATGAATGTTTAATGACTGGACTGACTCTCCAAAAACAACAGAGAAGAGAAAAAAGGCACTTATCTATAGCATTTGCCAATGTCCGTGGTGTAAATACTCCCACTATGGTGGATTTCAAACTACTAACCTGAAGGTGAAGCTGGGAAGAGATGCAGCCAGTAGACTTTTCTGAGCTGGCAGAAAAGGCCCTGCAGAAGGAACTGCAGTGCATCAAATCAGTTGATTTCCCCTAGTAGTCATCTTTCCTACCTCGAGTGTTTTGTTTGTTGAACGTATCTGTAATCTGTGGGGTACACTGCAATGAGGTGGTATAATTTTTGACGGCCCAAGCAGCTGAAGTCCAGGCTCCTGGGGCAAGTCATCTTATGAGGAATGAATGACCTTGTGCCAGGTAGATTTAGGAAGGAAATGGGACCAGCTTGTGCCATCATGGTTGTATTTGTGCTTGGGAGCAGAGATTAGATAGATGCCTCTTGCACTACCTACCACCCTCATGATCACATAGATTGCAGTCATCTCAACGATTGAACCCTTATAAGAGTGTTGGACTCTCTGTAAGTTACCAACCTGTGTGACTCTGCAGGGTGCTCAGCCTCTCAGGATTTTATCTCTTTTAATTTTTAAAATGAAATTGTTGGACTAGTTTACTTGTTTGCCATAGAATCCATAGGACCTCAGCTCTAAGCACTAAATATCAGTAGGGGTAACGTTCTTTTTTGAACTACATCCCCAGCCCAAGTAACATTCTTTTGCCATAGAACATTTTGTGATTGTGAGAGTAATAGAATCTGGGAGTTTGGTAGTTTTGTATTGCTTCTCTTTCCATCTAGGACTCAGCTTATTGTGCCTGCATCTCTTACAACTGTAGGAACCAGTTTACTAACTGGAAATTAGACTCTGAGAAGTGTTGAGACTGAGGTTCAGTGGAGCGCCAGAGTCCTGCTTAGGACTGCTCTTCCTGGTGGTGGCTGGTCTTCCTCTGGAACACTCTTAGTACTTCCAGGGAAGACATGCCCTACCCTCTAAGCCCAGCATGTGACTTTTAAGGTTTTACTCTTTGATAATTCCATCTGATCCTGACTCTTATAGAATAAAGTAACATATTCAAGGCTGTGGCAATATGAATTGCATCTACCCATCCAGTTTCCTCTAAGCAGAAAGTTTGAGGAAGAGGAAAAAATGCAGTGGAGCAGGAGCATCAGGAACAGGGAGAGGGCAGGGTCAAATCCCACCGTGGAAACCATAGGAAGGACCCTGCATGTTATTTGGAGGGCAATGGAAACCCATTAGGAGTTTTTAAGTAGAGATTGACTATGATTTATTTATATAGGCACACTGGGGATTAAACCCAGGGGCACTTTACCACTGAGCCACATCCCCAGTCCTTTTTTTTTTTTTTTTGTATATAAGAGCATGTGTCTGATATTTAATCAAGGAATAAACATTTCAAATTCCTTTTTTTAATATTTATTTTTTTAGATGTAGATGGACACAACACAATACCTTTATTTTTATGTGGTGCTGAGGATCGAACCCTGGCCCCGCCCATGCTAGGCGAGCGCTTCACCACTGAGCCACAATCCCAGCCCCTCAAATTCTTAAAGCTGTTAATCCAGTCCTTTATTTTTTATTTTGAGACAGTCTCACTAAATTGCTGAGACTGGCCTTGAACTTGCAATCCTCCTGCCTCAAGCTCCTGTGTCACTGGGATTATAGGCATGTGCCACCACATCAGACTTTCATTTATTCACATATTTTAAAGTTCATTTTGGTTACTGGGTAAAGAATGGTTATGCTTAGGGGCTGGGGTTGTGGCTCAGTGGTGCAGCGCTTGCTGAGCATGTTTGAGGCACTGGGTTTGATCCTGAGCATCACTTAAAAAAAGAAAGAGAGAAAGATACTGGGTCCATCCATATCTAAAAAAGAAGAAAAAAAAGAATGATTAAGCTTAAGCCAATTCAACCCAGTGATAATACCTGTCACATAGAGTAACGGAATTTGTTGAAATGTATGTAATGGCAAATTATCAGACACAAAGTAAGGGCCCTCTTAATTTTTGTATTCTAAGTGTATTCAAATAGGGGTATTAAACACTTCTCCCACACTTTGGTGGGGTGCACCAAATCACTTGAGATGTCCTATCTGGACATGGCTCCTGCCAACTGGTGGAGGGATCAGGGGTGTAGGGCTTGGTAGGCGGTAGAAAGAAGGGCCAGGATACTGTGAGCCCCTGGAACTCATGCCAACCTGGCCTATTCCCTTGCTGCCTGTACATCCTGCCTTTCCACAGAGGAAATCAGTCCCCAGATGTGAGTATATCTTTCCCTTCTCATACTACCTCTGGCTTGAGTCATTTTTAGTCTTTCCAACTTTCTCTAGCTTACTGTGAATGAGACCGGAATCTCTGTCCTCTCTGGAGTAAGCGTACTCTCCTGAGGATTTCCAAATATTTTTAAAACATTTCTACTTGCTGTAGAAGTCTAAGGGAGACTTAGAGGGAGATTGGGGTAGGGAGGAGCAGAGGTCCTCTGTCTCTTACCTTTATCAAGCACCTGAAGCTGTGCTGAGTGCTGGTAGGACACTGATGAACGAGATGGACACAGTGCAAATGAGTGCTTAGGTCAGGAAGTGCCACCCAACACTGCCTAAGAAGTCTAGCTCTGGCTTTTCTTCTGGGGGCAGTGGGAAGGCATTACAGGGTCTGTGCAGAATGAAGAGTGAAGGAATAGATTTCCTTCACTTGTCAACTTCTGGTGCCCTCAGGTCATAAGGAACAGTCTTGGAAATTGGAGAGCTCAAGCCAAG